AGGAAAGCCATATATTTTCTTATTTATACAACATATACATTCTAGATGGTTCAAGAAGTTTACCCTTGGGAGTGGAAATGATAGTGGGAGAGGAAGGTGAAAAAGAATGTCCCACTTTAGCCCTGTCTATTTCCAAAGTGCTTGAAATTGTGAAAATAAGAATTGAGTCATGTATTACTCTTACAAATTTTTGATGTTATTTGTCTTTAAAAAATAGTGAGGTGGGGATTGGTAGGGGGCATATGGAAAACAGTTTGTCCTTACAGATGTTTCTACAACTGTTTCTGGCTTTTGGTCACATTTTTCCCTCTTTTAAAAGTCGATCCAAATATCTGTTAAACTCAGCCTCCTAAACTTTCCAGAATTGTTTTCAGCTCATAGAAAAGGCTTTAACCTTCAACCTCTTTAGCTTTGGCCCCAGTATGTTTATGACTATTTTTAAATAGCCAAATTTTTGGTTGCTGTTGAAAGACATTTGGAAGATCATTTATAAGAGAAGAAACTTAAACTCTGGACCTTGAATCTGAACTTAAGAAAACATGGTTCTGCATTCTTAAGCGGTGTAGTTGTTCGGTCAGTTACTAGTCAGAAATATGTACAGTTCAAAAGCAGAAATAAATGCAGAGGACGTACAGAGGCTATCAACACGGAATGAGAGACAACGTTCCCACTCCAATGCTTCCTGCAGGATTTCTTAGGGTCTCTTAGATATTTACTCTAGAAGAACAAAAGATGCACCAATACCTAGGCAACAAATGCCATATGTGCACAAAATGCAAGGAACTCAAAGCTGATGGCCAAAACTATTCTGACCATTGTGGTAAGTGCCAAGCTCCCTCCACCCTTCTGGCTCCCTGATATTTTTTCCAGCCCTGCACACCATCAGTGCCATGAAGCAGGCTCCTCGCATGGAGCACTCTTGGAAGCAGTGGCAGCGCCTGGGGCCCCAGATGCTTCCATTTCCTCTCCATGGGCACTTCAACATCTTCAATGAGGAAAGGGTGCCAGGAAGTACTGAAGGCTAAACACAAACGAGAGCACTTGACGGCCTGGTTGCCTGTTCCTTGGGCAATAAAGCTGCTCTGGGAAAACCTTTCTGGCCTATTTCAGTGGAAATTAAAATTAAAATAAATCAGAGGCAGCCTTAAAAGAAAAGGGATAAAATTATGCTTTTATATGTAGGAATAGCAATACAGGCATAAATTTAGATATATGTGTTCCGCATTTTATGCATCCATAGTAAGCACACGTATGATTGATCCCAATACAAATGGCCAAACACCAACAGGAGGGCTTTATTTGGGGTTTCTGCAATTATAATAACTAGCTCTTTGACCAAAAAGCAACAGGGTGGTGTAAAGGCACAGAAATGAGCATGGAAAAAGGCATTGGGGTAAATTCAATTTCTTGACGTCATTACCAAAACAGGGCCAGTAGTCTCTTGGTTATAGAAACAAGAAGTTTAAAATATATCAAGCAATGAGGAAAGATAAGTTCTAAGTTAACAGCCACTCTCTGCTACTTCTGCTAGATTCAGACACATGTCTCAAGGCCATGCATTCAGAGAGGCAGAAATTGAAGATGTTTGCGTGCAAAATGGAGAGCCAAAGTAAACTCTCTGAACTTAAGCAACAATTATTACCCAAAACAGCATGTGAAAACATAGGACAAAACCTGGACAAAATGAACTCCTGTGTATGCTTATTAATAATCTGGAATAATTGAAAACAAAAGGTGGGGAGGGCTTTGAGCCCTTTAGAAACATAGAAAAGCTCCACGGCCTCTCTTTAACGACTCACAGATAAGCTGTGCTCCCAATGTTAACTGTTTTCCAATTACCAAACTAAAATGGACGGAGCTGAAAATCCTCTGTGATCTTTCATTTAGTCAATTAGTATTTATTGGGTGCCAATTGTGGACTTGGCACTGGATAAGTAATGATGAGCAAGACCAATATGAATGTCATCACCATGGAGCTCACAGTCAGGGCTACCTGGTCTAGGTGGCATGTATCATCAGCATTTGGCTACAGTGAATAGACAAAACAGGGAAAAAATCCTATGAAGCATACAGTCACACAGACCCATCTGCAAAGAACACACCACAGTTCGTTGATTGAATTCCAAAGTCAAGGTTTAAGTACCTGGTTTGGAATTTAGAGGTCACCTTCCCATGGAAGCAACACCATCAGTAATGTTTGGGTTCTCAAGTCAGTCCGTGAAACGGGAGTGGTCCTGCATGCAGCCACAGTGTGATTTTAAGAGGTTTCTGGTTTGTGTTACCCACGGCCCTTCAACAGTATTAAACTATAGTTTATAATCACAGACTGAAATGGTCAAAACTATAATTTATAATCACAGACTGAAATGGTCAATGCTTAAGACCGAAGTGTGCAATGCTGGGGATGGGTAAAAAGATGTAAATGCCTATGGGTGGGCTGGCAGCTCTGTTCAGCCTCAATCTGCCTCCCAGACAGGGAATACAAATGGGGACAGAATCTCCTGGAAGGTGCTTATAAGGGCGAGAATTACATTTGGAATACCTCATTTGCACTTGAGCCATTGTTTCTGGCCAAAGTTATGAACATATCATACCTTGTTATGCAGAAATCACAATTGACATATTTCCTAGTTATTTCAGGAAATGTAACAGTGTTTTTACAATTTCTCCCCTTTTCCAGACATATGTTTTTTCAGCGGTAATCGTGGCCCTAATAGCATTTACAGTACATTAACTTACATGAATTTTTAAATACCACTATTTAAGCAGTTTCATGTGCCCTCATTGCGTGAGCCTCATCTACTAGAGCCCCCGAAAGCATCAACTCAGCATCTCACTAGTAAAACAGTAATCTCGGCACAGGATCATTTTGTTTAAACTATGGCACAGATAGACATGCAGCCAAAAATAGAAAAAGGAGCTAAACAAGAATGTGAGTCTCCAAGACAAATTTTTAAAAATGATTTAATTTATATTTAGAATTAAGAGAGTGAAGCATACTGCCTGAAGGAAGTCATTTACTGGCTCTCTGACAAGGTTAAGCAACATTTTTCTTAAAATTCATTAAGAATACCCTTAGGTGACATGTGGAAAATGTAGGTGCCTTAGCGGTGATCACCCCAAATTATCCAAATAAAATATTATTGTACTCTTAGTGCCAGAGTCTCTGTATGAATACAATCTTCTCTGAATCTAATTCCCTTCCATCACTGAGCTACAGGGAATATGCTAACTTTCACAGGTCACTCTATCATTTTCCTAATATGAATTTGGGGTGAGGAGGAGTTCTCAAAGCTTTTGTTGAGCTCCCAGGACCTAGACTATCCTCTCCCTGAAGAGCTCATGAGACAGAGAGGTCTCAAACTGAACTCTCAAGGTAGGAAAGAGATAGAGCTAGAAGATCTTCCCTCCAGTAACAATCTGTGCCTGGGGACATCCACTACAAGTGGAAGGAAGCCCCTGGTTAGAATGAGGACAGCAAAATGCCATGCAGAGAGCAGAAGCCTGGCCCAGACATGGGTGGCAGCCGAACAGGTGGACCCAGGAAGGTCTGCAAAGCAATGAGTAAGTTTCGTTTGCAATGCCTCTCCCATGTCTTGTCACACTCAGAAGGAGATCTGGTAGTCCGTGTTTATCCCATGGAACAGTGATTCTCCAAGACTAATTGGGCAATAGCAGCATTAGCATCCCTTGCAAACTGCTAGAGATGCCCATTTTTAGGCCCACTGTGGACCAATTAAATCAGAAACTCTTAGAGTGGCCCAGAAATCTGTTTTCACAAGCCCTCCAGGAGTTTCTGATGCAAAGTCCAGTTTGCGAACCACCACCGTAGGATTAATTAAAATCACTGTAGTATAGTTCCTCTCCCAAGACTTAGCTATAATTGGAGGATGACAGATCTTTTCTCCTTCAAAGGAAATGTCAAGGGTCAGGAGGTAAAAGGGGATTCAGGTGGAGGTTTGGGGGTTTGAGCCCCAGTTTACCACTATTCCCTTCATTCACCTTGGGTTTGGGAATCTTGGTAATGAGCATCAACAAAAGGAGAGGAGAAAATGCCAGAATCAGATATGATCCACCCCAGAGCCCAGTGTATGCTGGGCAACTTCCAGCTACTTAAACATTCTCTTCAAAGTAAACAAGCCACATTAATAATAGTTGTAATAAACCACACAGATCAAGAAAACCCACCAGACTTTCTCTCCAGTGCAACTGAGACACCATGAAACCTTCTTCACAGCTTTCCTAAGGTAATGGCTATTTGTAAGAGACCACACAAAATTCAACAATAACATAATATAAATGTAAACTTCTGGGAAAATGCTCTTAAACCACTAAAACTCTTGACTAGAACAAGAACATTTAAACAAGTTTTCCCCTTAAAATTAATTTGGTCCTCTAAAAGAGACCAGTGATCTATTCTTGGGCAACATAATCCTTCATTTTTAATCAAACACTCAGAATTTTTCCAATCTAAAAGAAAAAGTCACTCATTCATAAAACTTTGATGTACCACCAAGGGCTGTTGTTTTACTTCCCAACACCGTTCAAGTTTCCAAAGATGAGAATCTAAAAAAGCAGTAGCAAGACCAAAAGCACGCTACAGAAGATCTAGGAGTCAGAAAGAACAGCAGAGAGAACCTTTCCACGCAAAATATACATGTCCATAACTAGCCTACTGACACAGAGCCTTGCCTGCCTTTCCAAAACAATAGGGAAACTTGGGTACTATTTGTCTATATCGCTATTAGTCACTCAACACTCAAGAAACCAGTTCTGTGTTTTTTGAAACAACTATCCTTATTGGAAAGTGGGTAGTGCTGAGTAATCAACATTATTTTTCTCTGTCTTGGTTTGTAGTATCATATCCGTGTTGCTATTTTTTCAGCCTTAAAACCTAGTGATCGTAAATCAAGCTGCTTCCTTTTTTTAGCAGTAATTAGCATTAGTCATAAGCCAAAAATGATTCCACAAAGAAGTAAAATAAACACAACCCTTCTTACCTTTCATGCCAAACTTGGAGTGTCTTGCCAACTTCAGCAGGAACAGCATTACCAGCAGACAAAATCCCACTACAGACGCGATCACCACCACAGCATAGACCTAGAGAAAGCAAGGGATGGCGGTTATGGCCTTACTAACTACTTCCCTATATAGATGATGAAGGGGATTAGTTAATATTTATGGAATGCTGACTGCTACTTGCTCTTCTAAGAACTATATGTACATCAATTCACTTAATCCTCAACAACCATACAATGAAGTATATAGGTCCTATTATTATTCCTATTTTACAAATGAAAAATCATACATTAAAGCTATAAAATGGGTACCTAATTAATATTATATAAAGATATAGATATATGCAATAGATATATGTACAGATATATGTAATATATCTATACTGAGATAAATATGTAAATGTTGAATATATCTCTCTCTCTTCTCATTTATCTACCTACCTATCTATCTACATACCTGGAGAAGAGAAAAACATGAATTAAAAAATACTGATAATTTTTGAAGTTGGTGAAAGACATAATGGGATTCATTTTACTATTCTTGCTAGTGTTGTGCATGTTTGGAAAATGTTCATCATAAAATTTTTTTTACTTTGGCTATTTTTGTTCTTAGAAGTCAGGGTCCCCTGTAGCAGTGAGTAGGCCTGGAAGGGAGCAAGAGGGCATTTGTGAGTAACTTCACTTGTGAAAGATCATTGGGTTATACATGTACGACATGTGTTCTTCTCTATATGTATGATAAAGGTCAATACAAAGAGTTTTTTTTTTAATTTAAAAATATAATTGCAAGATCCGCATTATACAAGTAGAGAGAGTAAATGCAAATCTCTGTGAATCCTGCCACGACCCTGAGCTGGAGATGCGGAGGCACGAGTGCATGATGCTAATGAAACACACAGTAGCATTTTAGAAACAAACGTGGATGCCGGGCTGTGTATCTCCTTCCATTCCTACAGCTCACCTCAAGGCCCTGCTTCAAAGAGAAGTTTGATTCTCTAAACTGGGAGTTGTCAAATGTTTGCTGTGAAGGCAGATGATTTCATTACTCCTGCAAGATCTTAGACTAAGGTAGTGGTTCTCAAACAGAAAATGTTGTGCCCAGCAGACATTTGGCAATTTGGAATTGTCATAACTACGGGAAAGGTACTACTAGTACCTAGTGGGTTGAGGCCAGGAATGCTGCTAAACAACCTAAAGTGCTTAGGGCAACCCCCTTATGCTAGCACAGATTTAGCCATCGGCAATAACAAATGCCATTAGTGAACAGTTCTGTTCTAGTGCTCTCTTCATTTCTACCATAATAAATGCTACCTTTCCAAAGGTAGCTGCTCATTAGCCTAATCTTGCAATAAGGATGAGGCTGGCAGAACCACCTGCTAATACATTCAATGAAGCAAGAAGTAAACCTTTGTTGTTTTAATCCATTAAGATTTGGAGATTTTTAATTATTGCAGTATAGCTTATCCTAACTGATATACCCACCTCACAGTGAGGGCAGTATAGAGTAAAGATTAAGAATATGGTTCTTGCCCTGGCTGGTGTGGCTTAGTTGGTTGGAGTGTCATCCTATAAACCAAGGGGTGACGGGTTTGATTCTGGATCAGGGCACATGCCAAGGCAGTGGGTTTGGTTCCTGGTCAGGCTGCTTATGGGAGGCAACTGATCAATGTTTCTCTCACCTCAATGTTTCTCTCTCTCTCTCTCTCTATCCCTTCCTCTCTCTCTGGAGTAAGTGGACATATCCTTGGGTGGGGATTTGAAATACACACACATACACACACACACACACTTGTGTGTGTGTATACACATATACATACACATATGTATACATATGTGTGTGTATATTTCTTTTTTCCTTCCTGAGTTTGAAATTTAGATTTACCATTTATTAGTTGCATGACTTCAAAATTAACCTCTCAGCATCTCATAATCTTCATGTATAAAGAAGGAAATATACAAAAACGCCTTTGATTTCTGAATGTTGACTTTGTATCCTACTGTTTTGCCAAATTCACTTATTAGGTTGAGGAGTTTTTTGGTAGAGTCTACAGGGTTCTCTATGTACACTATCATGTCATCTGCAAACAATGATAGTTTTACTTCCTCCTTTCCTATTTGGATGCCTTTTATCTCTTTCTCTTGTCTGACCGCTGTGGCTACGACTTCCAATACGATGTTGACTTTGCGACAGCATGGATGGAACTGGAGAGCATCATGCTAAGCGAAATAAGCCAGGGGGCGAAAGACAAATACCATATGATCTCACCTATAAGCGGAACCTAACCAACAATGCAAAGAAGCAAGGAAAATACGACCAGCAACACTGAAAGGAAAAGAAATCAACAGAGACAAGAGGGAAGGGGGGGGGCAGGGAAAGGGAAGGGAAGGGGAAAGTCAAGGAACATATAGCAAGGACTCATGGACAAAACCAAAGGGGAAGAGCTGAGGGAGGGAAGGTGGGAGGGGGCAAGGGAAAGAGGTGGGGGGAAGGCAGAGACAAATGTATTTAAAAAGTAAATAAATTAATTAAAAAAAAATAAAGAAAAATATATTGGTCAAAGAATGCCATTAATAAAAAGTGTTAAAAAAAAAAAGAAAGAAATATAATAATTCTGCCTTGCAGGCTGTAAATCCTCAATGAGTTAATGCAGATAATGGGCTTGGAACAGTATCTATCTACAATAGAAAATAAATGAATGTCGACTATCGTGATGATCATAATGATGATAAAACAGATTAAGAAAAAATTTAATAATCAGCCCAAGATCACACCTTAGAAGCTTGGGACTTGAACTAATATCTACCCAGGTATACAAACCCTGCAACTTATCAACTCTACTGCCTCTCCAAAGCATGTGGCTGAGAATGAAGGCAGGATAATAAAAATACACAGCTAATCCTCCCCAAAACACCTTCTCTGATGTTAGATGGGAACAGCATTAAATAAGTCACAAAGCATAGGAAAAAAGCATACGCCAAGCACTTGGCCAAGGTGGAGCAAAGGTGTGATAATTCTCTTCTCTGCTATTTCAGCTGTGAGAGGCTCCCACACAGAAAGCTTGTGCAAATGTCTGAGTATACACTAAACTCTCTTCACAGCTGATAAACAAACAAAATGGCAATGATTCCTAAAAAGCTAGTTATGGATCAATTTGTTCTAACCAAGATCATTTCCCTCAAATTTGTCTAATAATTTTGGGTGACTTTTTAAAAAATCTTTATTTCTAACATTTTCATGGGAAAGAGATTATAGTATTTTTTTTTTCATCATCACCTGAGGATCTTAGAGAGAGGGGAAGAGAGTAAGAGAGGGAAACATGGATGGGAGTAAGAAACATCGATCTGGTTGCCCATTTTATGCACCCTGATCAGGGCTGGAACCCACAAGCTAAGTATGTGCTCTGACCAGGAATTGAACTGTGACCTTCCAGTGTGACATCGGCCAGGGCAGGATCATAGTATTTTAGCTCTAAGTTCTCTACCCTACTATTAAGTTCCAGACTTCTGCAGACAGACGAAGAATACCTAAAGAAACAAATTCCAACTCTGTTTTACAGATAAGAAACCGAGTATGGAGAAAGGTCAGAGGACCTGGCCTGAGTTCCAGGGCCTCTCTGTAGTCCCAAGGGAGCCTCTCATGTCTTCGGAAAGCACAGGATTGGCATTCCGGAGATCTGAATCCTTCTGTTCACAGGGCACCTTGCCTTTTACCAGCTGTGAGAGCTAGAACAGAGCCTTCACTTCTCCAAGGCCCCGTTTCTTCATTTGTACATGGGAGTAAGAATACCTGCCCTGCCTTTTCTACATTGCTAACGAATGCTTAATTCAACCTGGAAAATGAGAAGGGGTTCTACTGCTGAAAAGCAGTTAATGATCTGTCAGCAAATATTTAAACCTGTTGAAGCAGTTCTAAATATAAAGAATCTTTTAATAATTAAAGATTCTTGTGATAATGAGAAGAATCGTCTCCTCAAAAATGGTTCAGTAACAACCAATTTCACATACTGCGAATGTGTTGGGGCGAGTATGGTCTTAATGTGGGGGACAAGTAGGGGTGAGATATGCCCATTAGGAGCTTAAATTAACATTTGGGTTCAAAAGAGAAAATTGAAGTTGACATAATTGTTAGTAACTGGGATACCTACACACCTGTGGCCTTAACACATGCTCTTAAATTCCTTAGGGACACAAACAACTTTCTCAAATCAAAAAACATTCAGTGGTTTAGCGTAAGAGTAAAAACTGAAATGGTTGCACAAGGCAGGAGTTGAAAGCATTCTACAATTAACTTACCATGGCATTTGTCTTACTGTTTCAATGTAAAGTATATTTTAATGTAAAGCATACAGTCATCTATGGAAATGTGTGTCTCTCTATACTGGACATGCATGTTTTGAGTCTCCCATTCTCATTGCCATAGCAGTGCTTTAAATACGCATCACATCTTTTTATTACGGTACCAGACCCCTAACTCATCATCCCACTGCCAATCTCTGTTTGGCAACCCAGGCTATAGTATTCACCATGAGTCCAATCAGCCTAATTTTTATTGAGTACCTCCTAGGTGCCAGGCATTATTCTAGTGGCTAGGGATCCCGCTGTGAAAAACACTGACCAGGCTGCCTACTAATAATCTTACTAAAGAATCTAAGGAGAGGAAAAAGACATTAAACAAGGAAACAAACAAGCAAGCAAGGTAATTGTACATAATAATAACTACTCAGAAGAAAAGAGAAGAGAGTAACGGCTGCCTGCTGACCACCCTCGATGAGTCACGTGATGACCTTTGGGAAGCGTATGCTTCATAGAGAGAACAGCAAATGTTAGGGCTCTGAGACAAGAGCAAGCCTGGAGCATGCAAGACAGTAGTTTAAAAAGACAGGTGGTGAGCAGTGAAGAGATACGGGAGATGAAGTCAGAGACAGAGACCGGCAAGGTACGTCGGGCCTTGGTAGGCACTGTGAGGAGTTGGGCCTTTATAATAAAAGTTTTATTACAATGTATTGGGAAGACTCTGAAACTGAAAATAAAAGAGTGATCTGATTTGTATTTGTAAAAGGTCACTCAGGCTGCGGTGTGGAGACAGGAAGGTGACAAGAGTGGGAGAGGCGGACGAGGTAGAAGGGGGACCGAGCCATCTAGGAATGAGCTGGGGTGGCACACTCTGCCTGCAAAGGGCCAGGCAGCAAACATTTCTAGCTTTGCAGGCCACACAATCTTTGCTGCCACAACTCTACCTGCCATCATGGCACACAAGTAGCCACAGACAATATGTCAATAGGCATGACTACATTCCAATCAAACTTTATTTATAAACCAATATTTGAATTTCACAAAATTTTCAAATAAAAAAAAATGGTCATAAGCCATTTTTTTTTTATTTTTTCAAACCACTTAAAAATGTAAAAACTAGTCGTAGCCTGCAGACCTCACAGAAACAGGCTGTGAGCCAGAACTTGGCCGGCAGGCCTCAGTTTGCCAACCCCCGAGTTAGCCTGCGGCTGTGGCAGTGGAGCTGGGACACATGGATGGGCTTGCGGTTAATAAGGAGGCACAGGACAGGCAACTGGGCGCACACTACACGTGAAGAAAAGGGAAAAATGGAGGCAGCTTGCTGGGTTTTTACCCGAGCAGCTGACAGACCACCCTGCCACAGAGCCCTGGAGCCCTGTGACCCTGGGGCTCTCACAGGCCCCTTTCAGTGAGTCCTCAGTGCACAGTGTATCAAACCACCTGGCCCTGTGTTTCAAAATCTCATGATCTGGCACAACCAACTTCTCCAACCTTGCCTCCAACTGCCACCCTTCACATGTCTTACCTTCCATCAAGACTGTTTTCCAGTCTGCAGGCTCTTGTTCACACACCCCAAATCCCTTCCCTTCTGTTCCTCTATGTCCAAATCCCAGGCATCCTGCACAGGCTGCAGAAAATGCCACCTGTCCCACAAAGAACCCTTTGGCCCTCCCAGCAGGAAGGAAGAGAGTGCCTGCACCTCTAATTCTATTTCTCGAATCACACACCACTCCACCTCTATTTGTATTAAGTGTTAGCGTTCACATCTCTGACCTCTGACTGAACTTCAAGCTCCAAAAAAAAAGGACCTTAGTTTCATTCATATTTTTATATCCTCCCACATTATATCCTTACATGTGGGGAGTGCTAACACTTTTATTAAAATACTTAAGCAGACAGGTGTGAAGGTGTGGAAGACAGGAATAATTAATTATAGATGTGCCAGGACAAAAGAGCTGCTTTCTTGCTCTTTTAGTAATGACCTTTTACAGAATAGATATTTAAAACAGGAACCACTAGCATTAAGTCAGAGGCTACCTTTAGCACTTCTCTTAAACCTTTCTATTAATTCCTCCATACTTCAATGCCCTGTTTACATCAGAGCAATAAAAATGTCCAGTTGAAAATCTTGCACCGAAGCAGCTCCAAAGGTCTTCTTTGAGTTGATTTATATCATTTTAGACAAATATTTTGAAAAAGCATAAAATAAAGACCATGTGAGAGCTACTTCCCACATGCAAGCATCCAAAATGCTCAGAACCAACCTAGGAAACAACTATTACCGCACTCACCGAGAGATGCTCCCGACCGCTTTTGTCTGCAACATCTGTGGAAGGAATTTCATTACTTCTGTTCGTGGTGTCCCCGATGTCATTTGCTGCAGTCCCATAATCTTAAATTGGAGAAAAGGGAAAGAGAAGGGACCATGAAGTTGCCATTAGGCTGCCAACAAACACGAGGCCACAGCACGACCCAGAACAAAGCCAGACAAATCACAAGATTCCAAACCACTGACAGGCTGGCTAGGGCTGGCCAGGGAGGAATAGGACCCGGCTGCTGGGCTAAATCACTTGCAGTGTTGGGACTGCGCAGCACCAACGCTGTACGATACTCACCCCAGATCTCCACAGCCTGGTTTTGTTTTGTGGTCAAATTCTAAACCTAGTTAACGGTTTTCTCTGCACATGGGAACATATCCCTTTTCTGATGAAGTATTTAATATAAATACAGAACAGAAGTCACAGATTTCTAGATTGAGTCTGTACATGTTCTGTATAAATGTTTTTTATTTTTATTCTGAATAGATATGGTATCTACAATCTGCATCCTGAACAAACAACCTCATTAAGTCAGCCCCAGCTAAACTTCTCTTGATAGAATTCTCATGCAAGCCTTGGGGTAACCAATTTAAATTATATTTTTATTAGCAGAGAGTTCCTTTGAAATTGAGTGAAAGTAACAGAAAAAGCATCTATTTTCTGTTTATTGTTTTGTTACTGACTGCAAAACTACGTTTTCACCATTTCCATTTTTAATATATTAAAACTTAATTTCAAACACTAAGAGATATCATTTACTTGCTTATTTTTCCCTCTTCATATGATACCCAGCCACTCATGCAAAATTAAATCATTAAAGTATCTGTAGTTTAATATCATGACATTTCAACCCAAAGACCCAAAGTGGTATCTGAGGCCAATGGAAAGATGCCATTAAGTCTTGAAATTACTGGAAAGGAGTCCAAAGCATAATTTTAAAATATTAAATCACAATTCAAACATATTTCTTTGTGATACAATTTGATATTCTTTTCCTTTAAACCATATCGAGACAAATAAAAACAAATATACACAAATCACATGCACAAAATCATCCAAACCCCAGCACAAAGGAATCATAGCTTAACATGTATAAAGCAGGTACAGACAATATAATTCCTCAGTTAAAATTAGCTCAAGTTAAATGCACATATAATAAGCATAAAAACAAAGAATTGTTTACAAAAATGTGTATATAAAAATATAAAATTAAAGAATAAAATATTTCATAAAATAAATACATAAATATAATATTTTAATCACTCTAACTTTTAATCGATCTTAAATGTTAGGCCAAGTCTTGAAATTTAGCCTGCTACTTCCTTGACAGAGGCCTCCTGGTCATGAAGGGGGTTTGAAAATCTGTTAAAGGTGGATTTTCACAACTAGAAATACACCGCTGGCATTTGATTAAAATAGTAAAGCACAGATGAGATGTTCGGTTAAAAGTTAATATAGTCGGCCTTTTGGTTTCCTCCCTTCCACTTTCCTAAAACAACCCCATTCAGTTCAAGGGGTTCAAGCACATCCTCCGGGGAAGCTGGTCTAAACTTCAGGGTGGTTCTAGTTAGTTAAGGGCTAATCCATCCCATTTGTCAGTAATGGAGGCAAAAATGGATCATGGCCCAACTGAGTCTTGAATCAGATGCAAGGAGAGCCAGATGGAGGTTTCTGGAAACATTATCTTTCTTCAGGAACCCTTTCAGAAACTCTCCCCTTTCTCCCATCAATGTGAATGACTGTAACCCCTCTGTTGGCCACATTCAATAACCCATAAGGGGGACCGGCCATCAGTGAAGGCAGAACAATGGGCAGAGGAGGGTAGAGACACAAACGCTGGACCTCTGGTGACATGATTGAGCTGCTGGTTTAACCCACCCTAAAACTGCCCTACCTCCGAGGATCCTGTCTGTGAGCCAAACTTCCTTATTACACAAGAAACATAATTTTGAATTGGGTTTACTGTCATAACTAGAAACTGATACACCACCCTTTTCTTGGTAGCCATGGCTTTTAAACAGGTAATTAGTTCCCAATTATGGAAACGAATTGTCTGTTACAGCAGAATGGATTTACTACTTCCAAGAACAGAGCATGAAAGAGAAAATGCTATTTACAGGCACTGTAAATATCAAGGGAAAATGGACATCAATATTGAATGATTTTTTTCTGAAATGTTATTTTGGCCTATGTAATGCTTGAAATGTATATTTAACTGAGCTTAAAGGTCTTCTTTCAGTTGATTTATTTCATGCTAGACAAACATTTGAAAAACACAAAATAAAAACAACATGATAGCTACCTTCATAAATTACCTCAGGATAATTTGGGTCTGCACCTAAAAAAGCAGAACAAAGCAAAAAGTTGTAAGTATGCATTCAGAGTTTAAAAAATACTACCTTACACCCACTAAAATGAGCTAAACATATATTAAGGATTTTATAACTGAAGAGACTGTTCTATAGAACAGGTAAATAAAACCTGAAATTCTCAGTTTGCTTCATGTTAACTCTGTTCTCCTCCCCAGTCCCACAACCTCCACAGCTCTAAAAAAAGAAAAAAATAAAGAAAAATCCAAATCACTTTAGCTGGAAAAACTTCAGCAATCAATGAATCATGACCTTTTATTTTTACTGTTTCTATTATACAGTTGGCTATGTTCATTGCAATTTTGATATTTTTATCCCAGAGACAGATCATTTCTGTACTACTCTTATTATTCTCTGATGATCTGGGGTAACTTTCAAACTATGTTTTGGCAGGTCCATTTGCATTCATGAACACATTATTACCCGGCCTGTATAATGATACCTAAAATGCAATTTTGCTCTCTACTTGGTCTTCAGGGAGGTTGCCAAGGCTGAATAAGCCCTTTTCTCTCTCTCTCTCTCTCTCTCTCTCTCTCTCTTTTTTTACCCTAACACAACACAAGAAAAAAGTAAATGCATTTTCTCTACTGAAATTACTTTTGTATAATAGATTATAAATTAAAATGTCAAAAAGAAATGCAAAAGTATATCTACTTAATTTTTTTTTGAATGACTGTGAATTCACCAAGATGATCAGACTATTCTGTTTTAAAATATTCCCATGAGAATTTGTAAAAACATTTTTACATTTTTTATTTTTATTTTTTAAAAGGTTTTATTTATTTATTTTTAGAGAGAGGGGAAAGGAGGAAGAGAGGGAGAGAAACATCAATGTGTGGTTGCCTCTCACGCGCCCCCTACTGGGGGCCTGGCCTGCAACCCAGGCATGCGCTCTGATTGGGAATCAAACCAGCGACCCTTTGGTTCTCAGGCCGGCGCTCAATCCACTGAGCCACACCAGCCAGGGTATGTTTTAAAATCTTTTAAAAAGTCACTGTCAACAAGAACTGGCAACAAAAAATACTTCCTACTTAATCTCCATTCAGAACTAACCAGGTCTCTATATGAAAGCCTACTTGGAAATAAAATTAAATTTTGATATCACATTTAAGTAATTATAAAATGAATTTCTAAAGCTACTTTCTGTGCTTTTAGTCTTCATTTACCACATGAAAAAGTAAAACTTCCAAACCATAAATCTTACTCAGTCCTCATTTCACTTTCGAACTTTTAGCAGAAAAAAACTATTATTTTAAAATAAAGTGAAACAGGCTGATTTTCTGCTCATGTATTCCCTAGTGAATAATTATGGTTAGCCTGAATGAAGACCCAAATAAAAGTGGCCCTAATGTTTAAATTAAAACTCTAACACAGTTCCACTAGAAGAACATCTATTTTAGCAAGAAAAAAATGAAGTAGACATGGCGCACTCCGATTCAGGGATGGCACGTGCCGCTGTGCAGCCCCTGCCTTGCCCAGCTCCTTGCAGCGCCATTCGGACTGCCGCCTATGTGAAAGGCACCATCTGAAACTGCAGTGCACACCTGTGCTGCACATGAAATGCCCCTGCATCAGCTCATGCACAATCATCAATTCCAGAAAATTTGTACTGCATTTTGAGTTTTATCATCCCAAACGCCATTTCTAAGTTTTTAGCTACAATATGTCAATATGCATTGTCAGAATTATTAGTAGCTGAAGTGACATTCCAGAGGAGGGCCTTGAAGACTCCCCTGCAGTTTGAGAGGTAATTCAGTGGAGACAGCAACAGGCACTCCCAGTGGCAGCCCCGGTAATATCATTTGCCAGGCAGCCACTGACATGCCAACGTCCTTTCCCTTCACAAAGTTCCTGGACCAAATGGTGTTCCCTGACTGGGAGGATTTCCCACCCCTGCTGAAGGAAAGGCCCTATAACCCCAAGACAGAAGTCATCCTTTGATCTTCTCAGTAATCTCTTAAAGAATCCAACTCCAGTCCCCTTCTCCACTGTACCCTCAAATGCACCGTCTGAATGTGCGAGGATACCTGCCCGCTGGAGTCCACTCTTCCCTTCCAGACCTCACTCCAGGTGCCCAGGACCCAGAATTTCCTCCCCACAGGCCCCAATATATGTCATAGGGTTGGCCAGCCTTTCCCCTACATCTGCCACCCCACTGGTGGCCACACCACCAGTATGAGCACCCTGTGACTCAAGGGAGGGAGGGGTGAGGGCCAAGCCAGGAGAGATGGGCTTAGGTGTCCACATGCTCACTCATTACTGCTCACATATGTCTCGCTGAATAGTCCAAGGCACGGAGCAGGGGCCAAGGACGGGGACCAGCCAGCTCTACCAAAACCACTATGAGGGGGGACCCCCCCAAAAACCGGAATTATCTTCTGGAGGGTGGGCCCCTTGTAGTACAGGCTTCCCCTGTTAGGTGAGTATTCTAGAAACTCATCTGTATCAGTGTACCTGCTAGTGTTGTTGTGAAAGACTGTGGTCAGCTTCAATGAATTTTTCTGAAGACTCTTTCAATGCATTTGCCCATTTCATGATGGGTGATTTACGAGTCCACCTGCCACATTGCGCTGAGTGTTCAGCAGTTTTTGACCAAAAACAGCATGACCTCTGTTCCTGCCCTCCGTATTCACCCGATCTCACCCTGAGCAACTTCTTTTTGTTTCCCTGGATGAGAAAAGTCTTCAAAGGGAAACATTCTGCTGATGTGGAAAAGGTGAAACAAAAAATGGCAGAAGCACTAAAAAATGCCAAAATCAATGAGTTTAAAAACTGTTTTGAGCAGTGGAAAAAAAGTCTTGATAGGTGTATCACATCAAATGGAGAGTACTTTGAAGGTGACTGAAGTTTAAACATGTAAGAGTAAATACACAATTTTTGGGGTCCTCCCTCATATGTTCCAACATGGAACTCCAAGAGTCTGACAATCTGAACTTTAAACTCCATCTTCCAGGTAATTATAAACATATATTTGGAGGAGGATACCACCTATTTTATTTAACAGTTCATTAAATTTGATTGATTTTTTTAAAGTGTTTGGATGTAACTATGAAGAACTTCTTTTGTACTGTGGTGACCCACCATCCCAGATTGCCTGAGACCAACGGGATTCCTGAGACATTGGACTTGAAGTTTTAAAACTGGGATGGTCCCACGCAAATCCTTACAGATTGTCCAGAAATAAGGGCTTTCCCTATGCAGACTTTTAATGCTAAAACTAGGACTACTCAGTCATCTTAATTTGTTTTCATTCCCTCAGAGACCCCATACCAGTCACCACTCACTTTAAAGCTACAAGTTCATAAGAAAGTAAAAAGGCATCATGAGGATCTGGAGCCAGGTTTATCTAAGCCACACAGGGACAGGGCCGCAGGGATAATGACTGACAGCTGCCATCAGCCTCCTCACAGAAAGGGAACACCCAGACACATTCCTCACACAAAACTGCCAGGAAAATCCAAAACATCCAATCAATTCAATGTAACAAATGTCAGGTATCGAAAAGTGGGATTTGGAGGTAGGACCAAAAATAAATAGGTTAGCTCATAATCTGTAACACAGGCTATTTTCCAGACTTCTGATGCCTATCAGTGCATGTTTTCCCTACCATGTTTACCAGCAAATCCATCGGGTCACGTCTAAAATTTCTGAAAAGCATTACATTTTCCTAACTTCATTTTCCCAGCTGTGTGAGATGTATTGTCACTTTACTTTCATTGTCAGGAGTAGCCAAATTTAGTGCAAGATTATGAAACTCACAGAAAGACAATGTGGGAGGAACAATGATAGGTTTTTCCCCCACTGTAGCACACTGTACTGTGTCTGATGAGGACCCACTCGTCACAATAAAGAAATGCCTTCTCATGTACAAAGGTTCGGGAAGTCTGGGACAGTGAGGGTGCAGAGACCTACCGTTTATGAAAAACAAGGGTCTCATTACTTCCACTGACCCCAGCTCATCAAGCATATTTTGCTTCTAGCAATGTCTCAGTCAAGTGAACCTTCTATGATGTTTACATTTCCAAAGTGAAGTAATTATTAACACCATTATAAATGCCGACACAGGAAAAAAAAATCACACTTTCCTTTCTGACTTCTGGCAATGGTCAAATTTTGAAAATATCGTGCCATTATTAAGTATAATTTATAACTGGTTTCTTTTATTTAGTTTAACTATGCCTGTCATGTAACACTGTTGTATGCTACAGGTAGAAACCCCTGTTGGTGATCTTCAGGACTAAAAGGTGACTGAGGAAAGGCAAAGACTATCTCTGAGGGAGAAAAAGCCAACAGAAAGATGATGAATGAAAGATAAATGAGGAGAATCCAACTTGAGTAATGCACTTGTGCTGGGGATTTGAGAAGGGCTATGCTTCCTTGAAACCTATCCGAGTAGCTCTCATTGGGTAAGAAATCTCAAATGCAGGCAACAGGCAGTGACACCAAGCCCAAAACCCGCGTGGCAGGAGTCTCCGGAATGGAATATGGGAATCTGGGAAGCCCAGTCACCACGCTGGCATTCCACACAAGCCACGGGCCGCATCTTCCCTCCACAGCTCACCCCAGGGCTGAAGCTACCACTGTTCGCCAACCCAAAGAAGAGGAGCAGCAAGCAGGAATGTCTGCTTATCTGAAGTCCAAGTTTTATTTTCTGAAGAGTTTCTTGAGCATCTCCAGGTGCTACACTCACTTGCACTTTAGGAGACTGTCTTGACACAAGGCAGGTTGTCTGGAACTATAAGAAGAAGACTAACAGCCCAGATCTGAGCCTGAAGCCTTCTCTTGAAAAGAATGATGGAGACTGTATTACAGTTGCATGTGTACCTGCAACAAAGCTCTGCATTAAACGTGCAATGTCTGTACCCTCAGGCATTTAGGCTTCTAAATGTGGTTGATTAAAATCAGTTTTTCCCCCAACAGCATCAAACCAGAGCACCTCATCATCCTCGTAATGTGCTGCTAAATGACT